ACATCTGGATTGTTAATAAGAAAGTGGAGCCTCTAAAGTGCTCTAGAACGGCATACAAACTATGATCTCATTAAAAACATTTAGAGTTAATAACAAACTTCCCTAATATTACCTAGGAACCTTGTCTATTCCTTTGTCATCTCATTTTCATCCATCCCTCCTGCTAAACTACCTGAGGGCAGACGCCCCATTGCATAGCAGCACAGGGCCAGCTATGCGGCACTTAATATTTGTTAAATTGCTGAATAGCATAGAATCTTCTTATAAAAAAGAAACTTACTTATTTAGCAGATAATAGTACTAGGAGATAATATATGAATGTGGTTAATATAGTCAAACTTTCAAAAAGTTACTTAGAGGAAAGTACTATTTCTTCCATCCCATTCCCCAGACAGTCAGCTGCTATCTCAAGAGGCATCCATGGTGACTAGTTTATTATACATATACTAGAGGCCTGGTGCACGACATTTGTGCACTGGGGGGGCGGGGGTGGTCCCTCAGCCCAGCCTGTGCCCTCTCCCAATCCAGGACCGCTCGGGGGATGTCCACCTGCCAGCTTAGGCCCACTTCCTGCGGGCAGGGAGACATCTCCCAAGGGATGTCTTGCGCTGCTGTGGAGGCAGGAGAGGCTCCCACCACTGCCGTTGCACTTGCCAGCCATGAGCCTGGCCTCTGGCTGAGCGGCACTCCCCCTGTGGGAGTGCACCGACCACCAGGGGACAGCTCCTGCATTGAGCGTCTGCCCCCTGGTGGTGTGCGTGTCATAGCGACCGGTCATTCCGCTGCTCAGTTGATTTGCACATTAGTCTTTTATTATATAGGATTCTTCAGCGATATTAGGGAATTGCATTGAATTTTAGTGCAATTTAAATTTCTTGCCAAAGATGCTTTATGCACATGTAAGCAGCATGTTCTTTTCTAAAGACACCAATTTCTCTCAAACCCACAAAAGGACAACCCAAACATAAACTGTGTGTGTGTGTGTGTATGAACGCGTGTGCACATGCATGTGCGCACCAAGAGCAAAGGAAGGTGCTAGTTGTAAAACCACCATCCAGTTCTATGCAATTCTATTTACAGATTCCCTCCCCTCCGAGCTGAGCTTATGATCCATTTCTTTGGCCCGAGATTTCATTTTTATTGTGCCGTTCGTTCCGTGGACATGGAAGGAGTAGGCATTCCGTGACATGAACACGACACAGGACTTGCCATGTCTTTCAGCGAGGTGTCTGAGGTTACTCTAACTTACTACAATTTGAAGCAAGAAAAGTGCTTCCTGGAGAGAGAAAGACAGAAATCACTGTCCCCAGTGTGGTTTTTGTCAGACAGAGGTCTGCAATGGCACTGGAAGGCACCTATCTAACACTTTAGCAATGAACTCTGAAAGGCACTTAGCACTTGGCGCTGCCTTCTCTCGGGTTGCTAACCTGCTCCTATTACATGGGCTGTGTCACATGGCATGGCACACTCAGACTTGGACATCACTTAGAAATGACATCAGAAATGTCATTGCTTAGAAATGACATCACACCGGTGGGCCTATGCCTGTGCTTGCAGAGGAATTGGTGGGAAATATTTTCAACTCTCTGCTTTATTCTGAATAAAAAAGCCGCATGTCTCTACTGCTCCATAATATTTTCTAGTTTCCATTTCTACCTACTAAAGGTACATTCATTTTATTTCTAAAAGACAAAACAAAACAGACTGAACAAAAAAAGTTTCCTCAATATATAGGTTTTGTCTTTTTTATGTTTAAGTGATTAAAATATAAGAATTTGAAAACTAAGTAACAGCTATAGTTCTTCTCATCTCATCTTTGGGGAAAGCAACTATTCTTTTCTTCCTCGCTAGTCTCTTTCCAGTTTGTTTCTACACGACAGCAAATAAATTAGAGAGTTGATGTTTACTTATTTTTTATTTTAAAATTTATTTTTGTTGTTTCAATATTACTTTAAGGGTTGATGTTTAGAAAAATTATTTTTTTTAGGGCTGATGTAGATGTGGTGCCCAGTGACAAGCTAAACGGAGCCTTTGTTTGCATGGGGCCCTCCACGGGAGATGCACCCAGAGATAACGGAAGGGCTCTTCCTTCTCTCCGAACTCTGTTTGCTACCAGGTTGTCTGTTTGTGATTCCAAGTCTTTGGTGTAGACTCAGTGGTCGCTCTGACTGTCAATGAGCTCTTTTTATGCGCTTCTTTGTTAGTGCCTTCTTCTTGTTACGTCTACCTCCTCAGTTTCCATTGGAAAAGCCAACCACCAGGGCATCCTGCCAAGTTATCTCCGCCAGCTCAGCCAACTCACTGCAGTTCTCACCCATCTGAGGAGAGTCCTCCTTGGGCTCAGAAACGATCCCAGGGCTCACAGAGAAAATGGATTCCCTAATTCTGGCATTATCTTCTTCCTATTAGATACATTATTTGTTTGTAATCGTGAACTTACTTCTCCATCAGTCTGCTTTCTATGCTCAGGTTTTATTTCTTTCCGTTCCCCTATTCTTTAACTGAAACACTTCTGTCCTAGAAACTGAACTCTTCTGGTGTTTAGCATACCATTTGGAATAAGCGTTTCTGCATCTTTTCCAAACATACTCCCGCATCACTGAGCTCTGTTATTACACATATAGGATTGCAAAATAAATGGGTGTTTGTTAAATGACTGAGAGGGATGTGGTTTAATGATTTGTAGGAGGTTTAGGAGTTTTCTGCCAAATCTAAATGACAGTGCTATATGAATGCATTGGCACTGCTTGCTTGGCCTCCACCAGGTCAGCAACATTTCCCCGCCTGGCATCCCTAACAAGATGTCAGAGAGTCCACAGAGGAGAAGGGGGGCTGGCAGAGGGGCGAGGAGCACGGCCTCTGGTCGGAGACAGCGAGTCCGACTTCCAGCTCTAGCATTTACTAGCTGCGTGTTTTGGGTCAAGTGACTTGATGTCTCCTTGTTCAGTCTCCTCATCTATAAAATAAGGATCACAGTCCTCGTCCCTACCCACTCACTTCAGAGGCTTGTTTAAGGAATAAGTAAGCTAATATATACAAAGCGCCTAGAAAGTAGGTGCAACGGTACTATATATAGCTGGTCTCTATTAGTCCGCAGCTATTGCTTGTCTTGACAACAACCGTAACTCAAAGCAAAAAACGAGGTGAGCATACAGCATTTTACATCAACTTCCAAGGCAGTGACACAGTGCTGGAATACTTCTTCCAGGAAGACATTCGAAGCTGGGAGCCTACTGAAGAAAGCCATTACTTCCCTGCCTCAATCTGGACACTGTCTTTGAACAGCTCTACAATGAACTAAAGTCATTAATCACCAACTATTACTCACAGGAGCTGAAGATGCTGAAATGGAATATGTCTAAGGTCTTGTGACAAACTACTCTTGCGCGGTATTCCTACTTATCTGCAATTTAAGAATCCAAATGTTGGGGGGTTGGGGGGAGCTATAATTATATTTACATGCTACAAAATTTTCTTAGCTCTTTTTGTCATTATCTCTCTTTTTTAAAAAATATATTTTATTGATTTTTTACAGAGAGGAAGGGAGAGCGATAGTGAGTTAGAAACATCGATGAGAGAGAAACATCGATCAGCTGCCTCCTGCACATCTCCCACTGGGGATGTGCCCACAACCCAGGTACATGCCCTGACCGGAATCGAACCTGGGACCTTTCAGTCCGCAGGCCAATGCTCTATCCACCGAGCCAAACCGGTTTCGGCTGTCATTATCTCTTTATATTTGATGGGAGATCTTGGCAAACACCAAGGTAGAGATTGAAATTGTAAAAAAATGCCCTTTTTATGTTGACACATTATTAGAAATTTAAGTTAAAGCATTAAAAAAGTTTTTTTACAGCATGGCACTGACTTACGTGTTTATTAGCCAAAGGGTTTCTATTTGGGGTCAGTCAAAAGCTCCAACTAGGCAAATAGTTTCCTCAGCTGTATTTTAAAGTAGGATCAATGCCACCCATAAGTAAGAAACTACTATTTCAGATGCCAATACATCAAACAAGACAATAATGTTTTATTACTACTGATCGCTATCAACCATCCTAAATTTGTAAGAGGCTGAAATGTTTCAAAAAGGTACAGCTGCCCTAACCGGTTTGGCTCAGTGGATAGAGCGTCAGCCTGCAGACTCAAGGGTCCCAGGTTCGATTCCAGTGAAAGGCATGTACCTTGGTTGTGGGCACATCCCCAGTAGGGGGTGTGCTGGAGGCAGCTGATTGATGTTTCTCTCTCATCGGTGTTTCTGACTCTCTATCCCTCTCCCTTCCTCTCTGCAGAAAATCAATAAAATATATATTTTAAAAAAAATTTTAAAAAGATAAAGAAAAAAAGTATAGCTATTTGTGGCCCATGCTTCAAGGCAATGAATGAAAGAGATCTGTGTTAACACTTCCCCCTATTCACCCTTCCTAGTCACTTTATAAGACAGTGCAAACACATTTAAAAATTCCGCCTTTACGTCTAAAAGTTGGCTACTCAAATCAGCACCAGTTAGAATATAATTACTCTTAAGAGACGTGTATCTCATTTTGGGTGTACTAATTGTATAAATTAGTTTTAAGTGAAAGTGACATTGTATAATGATTACATTTTCGCCAAATCTAACAGGCTTGCCTTTTTTTTTGTTTATTAATCAACTGCTCAGGACTGATGATTAAATGATTACTCTTTGTCCTTCTATGAGTTGGGGAAACATTTGATTTACTTCCCTTTCCACACAATCAATCAGTTGATTTGCAGAATGCCTAATGCTGCTTCTTTCAGATTCCCATGCGTTTATTGCTCCAAACATGCCAAGGGACTGTCATTTACTGGGGAACCGGGGGGGAGGGAGAGGGGGGCGAGCGGGGCAGGATCTTCAAAGCCAGAAGAGAGCCTGGGCGATCATTCTGAATACCTACGACCAGTCCATCTGATAATATTCCCAGGCAGCCGGAGGCCCCTGAGAAACAAGAGCCAGTCTTCTCGGTTGTTATCAAATGACTTACCCACAACGACTGCGGTGACGGTGAGCAGCACAAAAGCATTCCGAAACAGGTAATTTTTAACATCCTCCTTGGTGATGTTCTGCACTTTCTTCTTGGCCAAGAGCGTGCGCTTCCGGACGCCTTGCTGGAACCTCTGCATCCTGCCGCCCGCCCTGGGCTCTTCTCCGTTGCTTTTGGTCATCCTTTACTTCTCTAGGAGGGTCTCTTCTATGCCCCTCAACGTCTCGGAATCACCCCCAGAGAGCCAGGCCCCTTCAGTGTTTGAGAACACACCTAGAGCGAAGATAAGACAGGAGTTACATCTCCAGTGGGGAGAAGTCAGTGAGCTCCACACCAGGAGGAATGGGGGCAAACTGCATGCTCTCAGTAGGAATCACCATGGAGGTACAATGAACGCCTCGACTGGGCATATCTGCCGGGCCACGTGTGGGAAATGTGCATACATTCAGAACACGTGAACAGAAACCTGTGTTCTACTTTTAGAAATCTGTCTTCCCCCCTCCATGGAGGCTACAAAAGGGTTGATCAGAGCTGGGATGACTGAATACTCTTACCCCCACCCTATTTCCCAGAACCTCGCTGAGAGCTTTGCACAATGTCCGCCCTCAATAAATGTCCAATTGAATTGAATGCACAGGAAACACTCAATAATTACTTGCTGGCTTATGTTGTAAGCGTGGTGAAGGCATAACCAGGTCAATCAAGTGAACTGAGGTATTGACATTTCACAGTTGGAGCTTCCTGTTATAAACAATGAAGCGAGTATTTTCTTCATTAAAAAAAAATCATCAGAATATCAACTAGGACATATGGCCATGAAAAGAACTCCAGTAGCCACAGGACTTGGCAACTACATTTGCCTATTTCGCAAGGCAACTTCTGAATTTTTTTTTTTTTCTGTAAAATAAGAAGAGTCCTCCGGGCACCTCTATACACCACCTGAAGTCATAATTAACTTCCACTTTTCTTACAAAGAGGAGTGCACAGCAGCATTTGTCTTTGTGGCAAACACACCCAGGTCTCCTGAGGAAGCTCTCCCAACTTCTAAGTATTTTAAATGTTAGGATTTCTAGAACAGAGGAGATGAATCCAATTTTCATGCCAAACGTTACAGCGTGTGGTTTCTAGTTTCTCTAAAGGGTTCCCAGGTTATTAAAATCGAAGTAAATCTTTGCAGAGGTGGAAATCGTTTTTGAAAAATCAAGGGATACCTCCTGCTGCTTTACAAGATTTCTAATCCCTAATCTCTACCACGGATCAAGCCAAGAAAAAACAAAACCAAACCAAAAACCAACCAACCAACCGTGCCCGTGGACGTGTGTGTCTGGCAGCACCAGCAGCCTGCGTGTGCGACCGCGGGGGAGGTCACTGGCAAACCCGCGGGCGCTTCTGGCAAATCCCAGTGTGGAAAAAAAAAAAAAAAAGACTTGCTTCACGGTGTTCACTTTTAAATACAATTCCAGGGTGGCGTCAGCGATAGTAAGACCTACACGCTGTCTAAACACCTCCCAGCAGGCGAACCGTGCAGGGAGGAGTGATGAGGAGGAGACGCCAAGACCAGATTTTTTTCCTCCTGATCTGATTGCCTCCACCAGCCAGTCACTGCTCAGCAGAGCCGCCCAGCCTGATCCTTCCCAGATCCCCAGCCACAACCTGCCCCTCGTCCCCGCGAGGGACCCAACGCCAAATCCACGCAGGACCAGGCACAGAGACTCACCCCGCGCTCGTGACATTCAGTGACCAGCGTGGACTGGATCGATCCAAATGGCTAGCGTTTCCCTCGCCACCCCTCCGCCGGGAACGAAGGCATCCCGCCC